GGGTCGGGGAAGGAGAGAGGAGAGAGAGCGCGAGTGAGAGTGGAGGGAGAGTAATTGCCATCGAGGGAGAGAGCTTGGGGGGGGGGGGGAAACGTAACAAGGAAACGAGAGTGGCTCTGGCCCTCCTAATTATCGACAATAATTACCCGACACGAGCGCGCTATCGACCGCGCAACTCCACCGCTCGCTCAGCTGCCACGCGAGACAACGCGAGCCTGAAACTCGCTCTCAGGGTGGATACCGAGGTGCCTCTAAGGGAGGCAGTACAGCAAGAAGGTTCCTGACGGGCTGCACGTGTGTCACCGGATCTCTGTGGTTAAACAAAGGTTGAGCCTGGACAGTGCTCGGATGGGTGACCGCCATGCACAACAGGTGTTGTATGCTACGTGGGGGGCAGCAGAGGATAGTGCAGTAAAATCTGTTGCTGTACTGTATTCATATGCCCGCGTGGATACGCTGTGCACATCACCTACCCGCACCAACCAGCGTGGTGAAGTATGGTCAAATAACCCCCACGGCCCGCACGGCGCGGAGAGGCCCTCATCCAGCAGTGGATTGACAAAGGGGCTGTACACGTACTGCCACGTGTACACCCACTTCCGTGGCCAGGACCACGCAACTCGGGTTCAAAATGAACCAATACTCACCGCCCTGCATTCGCTGATGAGTCTTAATCGGGATGAAGCCCTGACCAATCTCCCTCCCTGGCACTTTCCTTTTTACCTTCGGCAAAAATGATCCCTCCTCTTCCCTCCGATCTCACGGTGCGCAACATCTTTACTCTTACACAAACGAATTCATTTGGCAACGCTGCCGCTGCTGCTGCTTCCGTTGCGTTGGCGTTAGTGCAGGAACACCACCAACAACAACTCAGCACATCCGTCGTGTGCGTGTGTGTGGCATTAAAGGGAAAAATATACAACAGGCGACATTTTGGCCAGTGCCTCTTGTTCTCGACGTGCTCTGAAGAAGGGCCATTGCCAGAAACGTCGCCCCAATTAAATGTTTTTTCTTCTTCTCCTTTAAGGCCGCAGTGTTATTGACAACGCTGTTGAGTAAAAAATATGTTTACAGCGCGTCTCGAGTCACGATGAGAGGCGCGGTCACGTCGAGACCAATTGTAAGTTGGACTCGTCTTGAATTGTGGCTATATCGACTGCTGACTCGCCACAAATGAGTAGTTATTTTGTCGACCACTGAGAGATGGTGATGATGATCGTGATGATCATAATGCCCTGAGGTGACCTCCGACCAGGATTTGAACTCGCAACATATCCAACTGCGTGTTCGGTGCACTAACCGCTGCATCACACAGCGGGTTAATGTCGTCATTACGAAAATTTAATTTGGGATAAATATGTGTTCCGGGTGACTCAGAGGTCAGATATGCTACTTTAGGTGACCGAGGTCTAACTTATAAATGAGGCTCTATTAAAAAAACCACACACAAGGATCAACAATCATGCATACGCATGATGGATTCTGTCATGCCTCCCACCGCGCGTTTTGTTTCCGGGCAACAATGAATGAGGGATAATTGCATTTCGTTCGGAGCCGCGCAACGAGATTGCATGACACGGGGTCAATAATTTGAGCGCTGGTTTTATTTTATTTTTCTCCCAAGTTTGGGCCAACGCTCTGATCAGCGTGGCTGGATTTCTCCCTCGGGTCACTCCGTGGCGACACAGGCGACTCTGCTTAAGTTTCATTCGCATTTGATCATCTTTACCATTCTCTCTGGTTCTTTCGGTAAAGTCAAGTAGATAGAAAATGATAATAATAATAGAAACACGACGCTTCGGTCGCAACACAAGCGTCCGTCATCAGGTTGACGCTTGTGTTGCGACCGAAACGTCGTGTTTCTTTTTGTTGTTGTACCTACGTGACTTTACCGAAAGAACCAGAGAGAATGGATTCCTGCTGATACGAAAGCTTCAAACGAAGATCTTTACCATTGCTGGTGTCGCTCCACGCCCCAGACATGGATTCAACTTGTCCGGGTAGAGACAGGCAGGCAGACAGACAGACAGACGGGCAGGCGGGCGGGCGGGCTAACCCAACGCATCGACGGCGCTTTTTGTTGGGGGAGCTCTCCTGGACGAGAGCGAGTCGAGCGGCGATCGAAGGGGGCGAGCGTGCGCCGCGAGGAGGAGCGAGGGAGGTCACCGCGCCCTCCGTGGGGCGATCGATGGCACGTGGGGACGCCGCCACGCCTCGACGGCCCCCTTCCGGATTACCACCGCGACCGTCGCCCCTCTTGTTCGCCTTCTTTTTTTACATTTTGTGAGTTTTTTTTGCATTATGTCGGGGAGGCTTGTCCTGCCGTTGTTGCACTTAGCCCGACCATCGGTCCTTATTGCTTGGACGAGTCTCTGTCTCCCGCTTGGGGCTGGAGGTTCCCCCCCCCAACCTCTCCCCCTGTCCCCCCCAACCCCTCCCCCGGCCCCCACCCCTCCTCCCACCCCTGCCTTTCTCCGTCCGATTGTTCTGGAGTCAAGGAGAAAGGTGACTGGGTTCACAGACACGCAAGCGCATGTCTCTGTGTGCCCCTGTGTGTGTGGGGAGCGGTGCCCGAGCGGTTAGCGAGCCGAGTTCGATTGGTGCTCACGGCCACCAACACCAGTGACGATTATCTGAACCGGTCCTGTGCCTCCCCTAGGTCGACTCAGCCTCATAAATAAATACGGGGTGTGGTGTGTAAACCTAAGCACGGGGGGAGACAAAGGCGGCCTTGAGTGGTGCTGGCCACCCACCCCCTCATGTGCCGTGCCGGCTTTCATAGGTGCTCGCTAACAGCACTTGCCCCATTAGTCTGTGAAGGCGACACGGGGGATCTTTGTATGGGTACAGTACGCATACTTTAGCAACGTTTAATTCAATGCTCGGACGCAGCCTACGAGCAGCGGCGAGTGACATCTGACCCGATTGTGGGCGTCCCCTAGGTCAACTCGGCCTTAAATACGTAACCCGGGCACAAGTTGCGTGTACAAGACTAACGCTGGCGCCATGGCGAGCGAGGCCCCCTTATCAACCCCACTCGCTCTCGCGATGGTGGCCTTCATGGGTTGCCCGCTGAACCGATTCCCTTGCGCCGGACTCGCTTTGAGTTCCAGCTCAACGGAGGGGAGCGGAGGGATAGCGAGTGGAGGTGGTGGAGTGTGGCAGGGGACGCGCGGATTTGTTCCAAGAAGCGTCTTGCGTTTCTGTCGACCGGCTCCCCTATTCTCCCTCACCCCGTCCCCCCCCCCAAAATTTTTTTTTCACGAGATGTCATCTGCGCAAATAAATAACCTCCGCTTCAGCACATTCCTGCCGCCGGGGCTCGTTACGGAGCCGCCGGCTCCTCGACTCAACTCGCGCGACTTCATCCGCACGGCCGCGTGGGGCTCGGCGGAGCGCTTCGGGTTGGTGGGGCGGAGGGGGGTTGGGGGGTGGGGGGTGGGAGGGTGGCGGCCGGCCGGCCGGCCCTGATGGAATATTTATTTTTAAAACACGGAATTCACGGAGTGCAAGTGCTCGCTTCGTTGATTTCCGTGCCTCTTTCCAACCCGCTTTATTCCGATCGCGCGATTCGGCGCCACGAGGTGAGGTGCGCCCGTGGGAACTGTCGCAAGCGAGCCGGGATAGGGGGGGCGGGGGGGGCACGACGCTCCCCCCCCCCACCCTCGCGTTAGGAGCACTGCTCGTAGAAGCGGCTATCATGGAACTACTTCTGGAGGTCCCTTGAGGGGACCTCGTTTTCATCGGCGGTTGCTGCGCCGTCGCGCGGAAGGGCGCTGATACTTCAGCCCGTGAAGGAAAAAGACGAAAGCGATCCAGTGCACTTGACGCCGACACGAGAGATTGGTGCCAGAGAGATGTGGCACGACTTGAGCGTGATGGCCCACGACAGAGGAAAGTGGAAACGAATGGCGAAATTTGCAGTGGACACCCATGGGCTCTCTGCCCATGGATCGTGATGAAGATGATGTACCGTGGTGCACTCCCCGTGACAGAGAAACGTTCATCATATCAGCAGCAGCAGCTGTAGCAGCAGTCAAACCGATATTTTTATTCTGTGACCTGGACCTTTGCCAAATTAATTGAGAATTCAAATGCATTACGATTGTAAAAAATGTTTGTGTATCAACTCGCTCGCTACACTTGACGTTAATCACGGGCGGCTGAAACTGCTGGGTTTTTTTTATATCTGGCTGTCACGATTATTCCGTGATTGTGATGGGTCTTCTCATCGTTTGCAAGTCTGAGTTTTGGCGGCTGAGATCCAGCTTCAAACCCAGGGTCTCAGCTGTGCGGGCCCCGCGTCTCTTACCCCTGAGCCACCCCGGACTCTTCTGAGTGCTGATTTTATTATGGCAGAGCAACGTGACTCCACCCACGTTGTAATTCTTGACCGAAGGCTACAGCCCTGATTGGTTGACACATTGTGTGCCCAGGCAAAGCGGCCGCTGCATTATTCTCCTAAACGCGTGTCCGCGTCTTTGAATTGTTAGAAACGGCCGTCCGTAATGGTATAACCGCACGTCTAGCAAGGAGAAATTAGTTTGACCGAGAGCCCTGGGCTGATCGACGAGCAGCTGATGGTCCAGCTAAACTCGGCACCTCTGCTTTTCTGTTTTTGTTTCAAGTTGTTCACCCAGGAAAGCCTCACCGAGTCTCAAGACTGTTTTTCACAATGGCCTCCCCTTCTCTGAATGACGTCACGGGATCTTTAACGTTCATTGTGGAGCGGTACGACACGTGCTTTTTGGCGAATACACCGCGGTATTCACCAGGGCTGCCTGCCGCAATTATAATCCCGAACCTCTACAACGAGTGTCAAACCCTTAGAATGTAACCTCTAGAATAAAATGTCGGTTTCCTCTCCTTCATGATATTTGCAATCCGCGAATGTTGTCCGTGCCTCAACGGACCGACGGCGGTGTTGTTGACGTGGCTACTGTGGTTGTTGCTGCTGTTGTTGCTGCTGCTGTTGCTGCTGTTGTTGTGGCTGATTGCAGGCGGCTGTAAGATGCTCTCTGACGAAGACTCGGCGAGTCCCCTCCACCACCCTGCTCCGCACGCCGCCACTCACCCCCCTTCGCAGGTGAGGGCACGCACCTCCGGCCACACGGGACTCTGGCCACACGGGACTCCGGCCACACCACCGGCTAACTTTGCCGATCGCCGGCTCCACTGAGCGATGCCCAATTCAAGTGTCGCACCCAGGGTTGAACCGGACAGAGTCTACGCCACACCCGGGTTCGACCACACCGTAGGTCCTGGCCACACTGAGTAGTGACCTCACCGATCAATGGCCAAACAGTCGTCACAGCCACACGGAAGGCAGGCCACACCGATATCCAGCCACGACAAAAACACGCTGCATCCTGGGCCACAGCGATTGTACTTGATAGGACGAGGCCTGGCCCCACCAAAGCCGGCGAGCGCCAAGCCTGTCAACCCCAACCACACAACCCTGTGGTCAGCAGCGACCTCCTCGCCCACATCCTCGCCTCAATGCTCACCTCAGCGACCCCTCGCTTACCAACCCGCACTCTGATGACCCCTCAGCGTGACCCCGCGCCCAGCCGACCACGAGCTCCGCTGACCACCTCACCTGTGAGCCGCCGTCGATACGAAACGAGAGCCCCGTTCCGATTGGCCGAGCGGAGTTGTCGCCAATTCCAGCATGATGTGATGTGGATTCGCGGAGCGAGCGAGTAAGTGTGACCGCATCTCTTTAGATGCCGTCTTAATTAATTGTTTCGAGGAGGTGGGGGCGGTGGTGATGCAGGGGGGCGGAAGGGAGTGAATGTTCACACCGCGGGACGGGAGGAGATGGTGGTGTGGCCCGCTCCACGTTGACGCTACTCGTACGTGTGTGTGTGTATGTCTGCGTGTGTGTATGTCTGCGTGTGTGTATGTCTGCGTGTGTGTATGTCTGCGTGTGTGTGGGGAGCGGTGGCGTTGCGATTAGCGCTACGCTGCTCTACGAACCCGGCGACCCGAGTTCGATTTCCGCTCACTGCTAACACCTGTGACGATTATCTGAACCGGTCCTGGGCCTCCCCTAGGTCGACTCAGCCTCAAATGAGTACCTGGTGCGGTGTGTAAACATCGCCACTGCGGAGACAAAGCGGCCGGACGTGGTCCTGGCCAACCGCCCCTTCGTGTGCCGTGCAGGCCTTCAATAGATGCTCGCGAGCAGCACTTGCCCCCCCAACAGTCTCTTGAAAGCTACACGGGGGATCTTTGTCTTTTGTCTGTGTCCGCGTGCGGCAGGTCGTGATGTCGCGCTCGCTCTCCCTGGACGGGGCGTCGGACGCAGTGGTGATCGGCATGACGCGGATTCCCGTCATCGAGAACCCCCAGTACTTCCGCCAGACCGACCCCCTCCTCAAGGCCAGCGACACCTGTGAGAGCTCCCTCACCACCACCACCACCACCGTCACAACGTCCCCGTGTCCCCGGCCCCGCTTGGTCTAGCAGGCTGACCGTGTCGTCTCTTCTCTATCGCTGCCACCACTCAGCCCTACCCCACATGACCGAGCAGTCTGACCGACGGTCGTGGCAAGAGAGAGCTATCGCAGTGTACGTACAGCACGTTGAACTTCTTTCGCACCGTACATAGCCAACCGTACCAATCGGAGGGGCAGTGGTCGGTTGGCTGAGCGAATTTAAAACCGGGAAGGGGGTGTCAGAGGGGCAAGCACATAGAAGGAAACTGGGGGGCATGTCCCCCCCATTCCTTTCCCAACTTCCCCATGGAATCATCGTCGCTAGGTGCAGGGATGGGGGCAGAGACCCCCCCCCACTCTCCCCCCCCCCCCACCAGACTCTGCTGCATAGCCACGGGAGAGCACGGAGCCTCTGGGAGATGCAATTATCAACTTTTATTAACGAGAGCCAGGACCATTTCATTACTTTGCTACGCCAACATAAACAACGCTGATAAAAATACTCCACGCAGCCGTCACCCACCCCCCCCCACATCCTCCTGCCCCCCCCCCCGCCACCCTCCCCACCAACCACCCACCCGACGCGCTCTCCGCACTCTGCGTTGCTGATGTACTCTGCGGCAAGACGCGAGAGACGAATGATGAAATATTCATGGCGTCAGTGGCGAGCGATCGTGCGAGGTGACTTCTCGACAAAAACAGCAACAAGCAACGGCCAAAACGATTACGAACAGCAGCCGGCGTTACAAAAACGAAAACATACAAAGCCACAGGTTTTCAATTTCCTGCCAGCGCCATTATTTTTGCGAGCGCCTATTGAGGCTGGCACCGGCACGGGAGGGAAGTGGCGAGGCCCTCGTCGCGCCAGCGCCGATGTTTTCGCACGCCCACGTGTGCGGTACAAAGACAAAGATTCCCCGCCCCCCCCCCTCCCCCACGATATAGCCTACGCAGGCTGTGGGGGCAAGTGCTATAAGCGAGAGCCTCAACACAGGCCAGCACGGCGCACGAGGCGGACGGTGTTGTCCAACGCCACGCCCGGCCGGCCGCCTTTGTCTCCCCGGTGGCATTGTTTACCCACCACACAAGGTACTCGTTTAAGGCCGAGTCGACCTATGGGGAGATCCCGGACCGGTTCAGATATTCGGGTTCGTAGTGCAGCGCGCAAACCACGACACGACCGCTCTCCCCATGCTTACACGTACACGTGCACAAACGCGCACGCACGCACGCACGTATTTGAGCCAATTTCGTAATTGCAAGCGTGGCGAATCCTCGGTGGGACCGCGCGGGTGGGTGGGCCGCGTTGCCAAGCTCGCAAACACGGAAACATCGCACGGTTAGAATGTCACGGATCTACACGGCAAGGCCTCGCCTGAGTCTCGAGGTTTGTTTTCAGGAGGGTCTTGCTTCGTCGGGATGGCTTTCTCTACTTTTGATTTCGGTGTCTGCGAACCGGGGAGGTTGGTTTCGATTTTTGCGACGAAAATTCGGACGGCAGTAACCGTTTGCGCACGCGTGAATCGAGCCGTGCACGAGCACGTGCGCCATGAAGAAGGCCCATTGCCCGAAACGTCGCCTATTATAGACGTTCCCTTTTTAAGGCCACACGCGGTGTTCTAGACACGGAACGCGTTGAGCTGTTTTGTGTTTTTTTTCGCTTGCGCGCCACCACTGCCAACGCAGCGGCGTCACCGAGCGTATTGTTGACATCCTCGCTGCCTCATCCCGACACGTGCCACGTCCCCCCCCCCCCCCCCCCCCCCCCCGTATCCACCCCCACCCCTGTTCCCCCTCCTCTCCTGCTCCCCCCACTCCGCGTCCCCCCACCGCAGTCGTGCAGCACATCACGCGGAGGGACATCGTGCTGAAGAGCGAGCTGGGGGAGGGAGCCTTTGGGAAAGTCTTCCTGGCCGAGTGTTTCAATCTGAGCGCTGAGAAGGAGAGCATCCTGGTGGCCGTCAAGGTGCCGCGCCAACACGAACCCCGCGCCAACACGAACACCCCGCCAACACGAACACCCCGCCAACACGAACACCCCGCCAACACGAACACCCCGCCAACACGAACACCGCGCCAAAGCGTTACGCCTACCGTTGGAGTGAGGCCCCATCGCAACAGGACAAAGGCTCACGGGCTGCCAGCAAACAAATAGATTTGGCAACACAAAACACAGATCCCCCCGTATAGCCTTTAACAAACTGTTCGGGCTAAGTGCTGTTCGCGAGCGCCTCTGAAGGCCGACACGCCGCACGATTGCCAGCACTCCATCTTTGTTTCACTGCTGCCCGTTGGGATGGCCACATTCTTCTCAACCCTTTTGAGTCGGTGGCCGAAATCACCCCAACAAACGGTGCGAGCGCCGTCAACGCCATCATCACCATCACCGCCGTCGTCAGCCGTGCCCCATCCACAATCCGACAGTGGCTTGCAGACTCTGCGCTCCCTCTGGCACAGCGAGGAGCGAGCGAGCGGGCGGGCGGGCGGGCGGGCGAGCTTCACGGTTTCGTTTCCGTAACGATCCTCAGCCGGCCACCGTTCGGCCTCTGTCTGACGATGGAACGGCGGTGCAGGTGTTACGCTTTCCCGCGGATCCTTCCCGAAGGCCCTGCCCCCTGCCCCTGGCGCCGCGAGGAAGTGGCGGAAACTTTCCACCGCGTTCTGCGTCCGAACCGTTTCGGGCCGTGCCCCAAGTTTTTTTTTTTAGATTTTGTGACCGCTCTTTTTACTCGAAGAAAAATTGCGGAACGAGGCAATAACACTTTGCGGCCGGCCGGGAGACAGCGACACGCTCCCGGAGCAACGGCGGCAACGATGCGAAGTGGAATCGGACAAATGTGGCAATGTAGGCCCGAGAGAGAGATACTAAGAGACTTGAGGCTCGGTGAGGCTTTGCAGGATAAATAAATCCACGTTATTATTGTTCCGAAGGCAGCTGGGGACGGGTTGTTGTTTTGCCGTTGCCCGCGAGCTCCCCCCACCCCCACCGCCGGCCGCGGTCCGCCGAGACGAGCCGAGAGATTTCTCGCGACGCCGCCGCCGCCGCCGCTGTAATGAATTGCAGACCTTGAACTCGGCTCGCCGCGACTTGAGCTCGCCGCTCCGACCCGACGTTTTATTAAAAAAAAAAGAAACTAAAAATGCTTCTCCCAGAAAATAAAAATAAATTCACTTAAACAAAAAAAAAGTTGAATTTTTTTTTGTTCCACTCCCCCCCCTCGTTACTTTGTACTTCCGTTGATTTCTCCTTCGATCTGTGCCGCGCGTCGTGACGACCCTAAGCAGAAGTGACTCCAAAAAATATAGACGTCACGCGCGGCTCTCGACTGCGGGAGCGCGCGCGCGACGGCGCTGGCCCCGTGCCCCGATGGCCATTAGCGACTCGCCTCACCCTGCCTCGCACGGCCACCGCGATCACCCGGCTCCTGCTCGTCCGTGTCTCTCAGTCTACCAGTCGCACGTGCGACTCGCCTGACCGGAGCAACTCTTAAAACGCGATAAGTGCTCGCGAACAGCACTTGCGCCGCGAGTCTGTTGAAGGCCAACGCGGAGGGATCTTTGCCTTTGTCGTAATTGCTAAAGATGGTCATTGATTTAAAAATCCTTTATCCAGCAGTGGATTGATCCTGACTGACGACGACAACGCTGATGATAACGATGACGACAGAGATGATTATAACGATGGCGACAACGGAAAGGATGGCGACGATGCCGACGCCGACGGTGACGAGGGTGCGTGCGTGCGTGCGAGCAGACCCTGAAGGACGGCAGCGACGCGGCGAGGAAGGACTTCCAGCGCGAGGCGGAGCTGCTGACCAACCTGCGGCACGAGCACATCGTGCGCTTCCACGGCGTGTGCGTGGACGGGGAGCCGCTCGGCATGGTGTTCGAGTACATGCGGCACGGAGACCTCAACAAGTTCCTCAGGCGAGCCGCGCCGCCCGGCGCTCGACGACACCCTGCACTCAACAACACCCTGCACTCAACAACACCCTGCACTCAACAACACCCTGCACTTAACACCCTGCATTCAACGACGCCCTGCACGGCTGAACCCTACACTCAGCACCCTGCACTCAGCACTCAGCACCCTGCACCTAGCACCCTGCACTCAGCACCCTGCACTCAGCACCGTGCACCCAGCACCCTGCACTCAGCACCCTGCACTCAGCGCCCTGCACTCCGAGCTACCGCTGCTTGCTCTTGAGCATTTAAACTGACTGTCGTGATGCTGTTTGGTTGTGACTGTGATGATGATGATGTTGATGCTGATGATGAAGCCAACAACGCTGCTGCTGCTGCTGCTAATCGTACTGAAGCTGATGATGATGATGACCGCGACGGTGACCGTGATGACGCAGGGCTCACGGGCCGGACGCCGCGTTCCTGTCGGAGCGGGCGGGCGAGCGCCTCTCCTCGGGCCAGATGTTGCACCTGGGCCGCCAGGTGGCGGCCGGAGTGGCCTACCTGGCATCGCAGCACTTCGTGCACCGCGACCTCGCAACTCGCAACTGCCTCGTCGGCGAGCACCTGCTCGTCAAGATCGGAGACTTCGGCATGTCCCGCGACGTCTACAGCACCGACTACTACCGAGTACGACCCCAGCCTCGTCGTTGTCATCATTGTCATCGTCGTCAGGATCATCGTCAGGATCGTCATCGTCATCAGGATCGTCATCATCGTTATCGTCGTCGTCATCGTCATCCTTGTCATTATCATCATTGTCATCAGGATCATCATCATGGTTGTTGTTGTTGTCATGGTCATTATTGTCACCTTATTAGTCATCATCGTCATCATTGTCATGATGATCAATGTCATAGCTATTCTAAATCTTCAACACCATCATTGCCATTATAATCCCTACAAGAAGTGCAACCACATTGGAAGCATTTAACTCTCGTGGTGCAATGGTGAGGCTTGTCCCCTGCCATTGGAATGTAGAATTTCCACCACTGGCTTTTGAGTGCTTATCTCACCGGGCGCCCGTGTAGTCTTGCGCGAGCGGGTCGTCACTTTCATTGCGATTTGATTTGTCAAGAGGAGGTCATCCTTTGGCAGTCGGGGTCACGGGGTCACGGGGTCACGACCCCTCACTTGACGCTAATGCTTCTTCGACGAGCGAGAGAAAAATTACAAAAATAAATCAATAAGAGGGAGAACATCACCACCACCACCAACAACAAAAAACAACAACAGCAACAACGACATCAACAACAACAACAACACGAACTACGCCAGCAACACCACCAACAGTAACACGAAAGACTCGCCATAGGCACAGTGGCCTGGTAATAATAATAATAAGCCTCACCGAATCCCAAGACTCTATTTCAAAGAGGATGCTGCCCACTCTGGGATATTTTGCCATGAATTCCAAGAGTGGTGAGAATTCAAATGCACGTAGGAGGAAACCGGAGAGAGAGCCCGGAGAAAACCCAACCCCACCTTATACGGAGGGGGTGACACTCACAGATCCGCACAGATGGGTTCACGAACCCGCTCACTGGGCTGCCACGCACAAGCTCACACAGCATCCACCCACACCTGCCTCATTGACGAGATGGATAATGGAGGGAGGCGTCTGGGGGGTGCAGAGAGAGATGGCGTCGCTGTGTATGCCTGTCTGTGTGTACGTCTGTGTGTAGTGAGAGTGTGGTGGATAGCACACTGTGCCGGCATTCTAAGTTCGATTCCCGCTCATGGCCAACACCAGTGACGATTATCTGAACCGGTCCTGGGCCTCCCCTAGGTCGGCTCAGCCTCAAATGAGTACCTGGTGCGGTGTGTAAACATCGCCACTGGGGAGGCAAAGGAAGCCGGGCGTGGTGCTGGCCACCCACCCCCTCGTGTGCCGTTCCGGCCTTCGTAGGTGCTCGCTAACAGCACTTGCCCCTACAGTCTGTTAAGGCTATACGAGGGATCTTCGTTTGAGTGTGTAGTGGGAGTGGTAGAGTAGTGGTTAGCACAGTCAATACCAGTGACGAATATTTGAACCAGGTTGGGTGCCGTGTCTAGGTCATCATCAGCACTGGGGAGACAGTGGTGGTGGTGCTAGCCACACCATCTCCTTATAGATGTTCGCTCGCAACACTTGCCTCTACAGGTTACACGGGGGATCTTTGTCTTTGTGTGTGGGATGGAGATGTGGGGGTGTGGGGGGGGGGGGGCAGGTGCCAAAGTGGCTCCTCAGTCCCCACGGTGCAGACTCGCTGATGACCAGACGTGTTCACTTAACAGGCGGGTGGCACAGAGGTGGGAGCGCCGTGCCGGCGACCGCCACTATCCTGGGTTCCAATCCGGCCTTCAGCCGCTGCCCGTGGTTAAACCGGGGCTCTCAAGTGCCGCGGTTTAACCACGGGCGAGTTGATGGACTAGACATGAAAATGGGTTTTCACAGTTCTCAATATTACAAATTCGACTGCGACGCGACGGACTTGACTCTCTGCGGCAGGGCATTTGGGTTAGTGCGGTGCCCGTAGAGGTGGATGCTGGCGATGACGACGTTTTGTTGACGTCCCCGTGTCTGCACGGTGATCTCAACTTGTAACGTGTCGCCACACGGTATCCGCTCTTGCTTGGGAAGAGAGGAGGAACTGCAGACGAGTGGGAAGGAAGCCACGTGGTGAGCCCGCCCCAACAATTGCCCAAGCTCTGCGGTCCTCTCTCTATATCTGTATGATGGTTTATTCAGCCAATTAATGAGTATTAACACGTGGGAGGAAACTGGAGCACCCGGAGAAAAACGCGTGCGAGGGGGAAACACTCTATCCCGTACAGACAGAACAGGCGGAGTCTACGTTTTTGCCGTACCGCCTTGACCTGGCGAGTCATGGTAGACTGCTCCTCCTCGACGCCCACGGCAAGGGAGTGTCACGGCAGTGATCTGTGCGGCAATCCACCAACCCTCGCCACTGCCCCCGCAGCGCCGGTTCACAGGCCGATTGCGCCGTAGCCACCGCCGCCGCCCGTCCCCATCGTGCGCACGTAGCGCGTGTGCGCGAGGCGTCGTGCTGTCCACCCGGGGTCACGTGACACGCGCGTGTGCACGTGGGGCACAGGTCGGGGGCCACACGATGCTGCCCATTCGTTGGATGCCCCCCGAGAGCATCATGTACCGCAAGTTCACGACGGAGAGTGACGTGTGGAGCCTCGGGGTCGTGCTCTGGGAGATCTTCACTTTCGGCAAGCAGCCCTGGTACCAGCTCTCCAACAACGAGGTGAGCGTGTGGGCGGAGAGTGTGAGAGATGTGTTGCGAGAGGGTGTAAGAGAGTGTGTGAGAGAGAGTGTGAGAGAGTGTGTGAGAGTGTGAGAGAGTGTGAGAGAGTGAGAGAGAGTGTGAGTGAGTGTGAGAGAGAGAGTGAGAGAGAGTGTGAGAGAGTGTGAGAGAGATTGAGAGAGAGTGAGAGTGTGAGTGAGAGAGTGTGAGAGAGAGAGAGTGTGAGAGAGTGAGAGAGTGTGAGAGAGGGTGTGAGTGAGTGTGAGAGATTGAGAGAGTGTGAGAGCGTGTGAGTGAGAGAGTGAGAGAGTGTGAGAGAGTGAGAGAGTGAGAGAGTGTGAAAGAGGGTGTGAGTGAGTGAGAGAGAGTGAGAGAGTGTGAGAGTTTGAGTGAGAGAGTGTGAGAGAGAGAGAGTGTGTGAGAGAGTGTGAGTGAGTCTGGTAGTAGAGGACACCACTTTGGCAGTTGGAGGCGGTCGCCCTTCAACAGCAACGGAAGGCGGAGGATCGATGCTCACAAAAACGAGCGGAGCGCCCGGCGGATGAAATATGGCGAGTTAGCGCTGTGGGGAGCAGTCATCTCAGTCAGGCAACCCATCGCACCTGGGTCTGTCCCGTGACCTGTCAACAGCAAGCCTTCCACACTTCACGTGACGGCCTCAAGTTGCACTTAGCCTGGCACAGGCGCTGTGGTGACGTCACCGCCACTTCCCGGCGACGCTGCAGCCGAGGGGGGGTGGTTTATAGTAACGAGATGAGAGCAAATTTTGATTTAAAGCTTTCGTGACTGCAGGGATTCATATTCTTGGTTCTTTCGGTAAAGTCACGTAGAAGGGAAACAATAAAATAATAAAAATATAAAACAATATTGTTTTATATTTTTATATTTTTATAAAACAATATTGTTTTATATTTTTTTATATTTTTAAAACAATATTGTTTTATATTTGTATTATTTTATTGTTTCCCTTCTACGTGGTGACTTTACCGAAAGAACCAAGAATATGAGATGAGAGCAACTCGCGTGCAGGCTTTTGGCGCATCCGTCACCCATCCACGGATAGCGCGTGGCCACGTGGTGATGACGACGACGATGCAATGTTAGCCGGGGGGGGGGATTCGAACCCAGCGCCTTCCGCACGTTCAAGATAACCGCTCGGCACCCAGTCAATCCCCTCGGCTACAGCTCCTCCTTCCGCTCCGCTACCCCCCACGCCCCACGCTCCCCTCTCCACGCAGGTGGTGGAGTGCATCACGCAGGGCCGCGTGCTGGAGCGCCCTCGCACCTGCCCCACGCTCGTCTACGAGCTCATGATGGGCTGCTGGCGCCGCGAGCCGCAGCAGCGACTCAAGATCGGGGCCATCGAGGAGCAGCTGCTGGCGCTCGCCAAGTCGTCGCCGCCCTACGTGCACGTGATCGCGTGAGGGACGGCGCCGGCCGCGCCGTGGCTCGCTTTGGGAGTGTTACCTGTGGGGGGGGGGGGGGCGGGCGACGTGGTCTCGCTTTTGGGGACCACGTGGTGCGTCGCTCTTGCGTGACGTCACCTGGGTCACCTGGGGGTCGGGTGACGCCTTGCATGAAAGATCGCTCGGGGCATCGCCGAAGCCGCCGCCTGGGTCATCGCGTGAGACACCGTGCGATGGGACGGGCGATGGCTGACGATGGCTCACGCGAGAGATCGCCTCGTCATCGCTTGCGATGTCACCTGGCTACTTACCTGTGACATCACTGGGGATATCACCTGGTAATCACGTGAGACATCACTGGGGACATCACCTGGTAATCACGTGACTGGGGACATCACCTGGTAATCACGTGAGACATCACTGGGGACATCACCTGGTAATCACGTGACTGGGGACATCACCTGGTAATCACGTGAGACATCACTGGGGACATCACCTGGTAATCACGTGAGACATCACTGGGGACATCACCTGGTAATCACATGAGACATCACTGGGGACATCACCTGGTAATCACGTGACTGGGGACATCACCTGGTAATCACGTGAGACATCACTGGGGACATCACCTGGTAATCACGTGAGACATCACTGGGGACATCACCTGGTAATCACGTGACTGGGGACATCACCTAGTAATCACGTGAGACATCACTGGGGACATCACCAAGGACGGGTGATGTCTCTCTTGAGACATTGTCGTCTGAGGTTTCACTTAAGCCATCACCTGGGTCATCACCTGCTGCATCACCACCAGGTAGAGGTGGTGAGTTCTCACTACGAGAGATGAATTGGCCTTCGCGTCAATTGCTTGTGACATCACCAGGGTCATTCGCCAGTAGGGACCTCGTGGAAGGGTCTAGAGAGTGACGGATGATGTGTGGAGGTCCCAAGAGGATTAGAGTGGGACCGTGTGATGGTGGTGATGAAGGTGATGATTGTGATGATGATGATGTTTGGAACCACTACCCCGGAACACACACTGCAGTTGCTGTATACCCTAAAGTATTATCGTGGCTAATGCCAGTCGTAGTGGTGGTAGTAATTCTCGTATGGTCGCCACCGGTGTATCAACTTACGAAGTCTCGGCGGGCCGGAGGATATTTATTATTTATTAACTTACATACCAACACGAGAAAGACGCTGCTACTGCTGAGAAATGACTCCGATCTGCACGCTGACAATCGCTTCATCGCTTCACCTGTGCGGACACAAACCTCGTCGTGGCGACGCATCGCGAGCGCACACCTCATCCAGCAGCGGATTGACAACGTCTCACACTCTCACGACGGCTCCACCATCACCATCACCACCAACTCCTCTACATCTCACGAATCTCGCGCGCGGTGAGAAACGCGAGGCAAATCTCTGTCGCTGATTTGTCGGGCGCAGTGTGCCGAGGTCGGCTTCGTTTCGTGCTGCTCTGCACCTCAGCACCGCTCTTTGTGTCCCGCAACTCCACTCCTCACGACCTGCCACGGGCCACACGTTAACGCGTTATCTTAAAATATATATATATACACACAGTGTACTGTCTTACCGTTCCAAAGACAAACGATGACAACTATTCAACTATTTTACCAGGTAAGGCCCCACTGAGCAAAATATTGCTCCATTTTTCAGAAGCGGCCTGGCGATCACCAATGATAGCTCAACGAAGATGGCTCGTCGTCACGTGGACATTTACAGCAGCTGAACACTCTTAAAGGCACGTTTCTCAACGTGGAGGGGGAAATCCACAATGTGCGTCATTACACGCTGCACGCACCTGATGATTGATATACAACTCCAACAAGTCGGAGATCGTGCGAGACGGGGGGGGGGGGGGGGCAGGGGGGGGTGACGTGGTCTCGTTGCGGTGGCGTCGTTCGCCGCTTGCTGCAGAGGTGTCACGGTTTGAATCGGGTTGGCCGCCCTGGTTAATACTGCGTTGTGTAACAACCCACACCGATACTACGCCCCATCTATTACGGATCTCTTGACGTCATTCGCGGGAGTTAGGTGTCAGGGTCCGAATTCGCCCAATTCGAAAATGACACCGCACGTGACTGAATCGGGACTGTGTGTAGCGAGCATCGGCCGCTCCTGGCAGCAGGCGAATAGCCCCGCTCACGCTTGCAAATGAGACTCCTATCCTGCTCCCTTGAGGTCTCACCTGGTTCAACAAATAAACGTGTCTGTACGTGTGCGTCACACTATAACGTAACGCAATCGCGCGCGCGCGCGTACGTGACACGTGCGTACCAATCATCAGGCGCGTGCAGCGTGTATAGAATTTTTATTAAACAAAAATATCAATATATTTGGTCGACGCGGTGTGGGTCGCGAGAACTTTACATTTTTTTGAGAAGGCCAAGCTGTGGAGCATCACGCCGTCTTGTCTACGGGGCGATGGGTGTAATCATCTTCATTGAGCGGCCTGAAGGAACGCGTACATACACACACACACGCGCGCGAATATATAAATATTACACACGAGTATAAATAAGTGTAAATTATAACCAGACGTATCAATCGCTTCTTTCACAGATGAATGTTTAACGCTTCGTGTGAGTGAGTAAATTGTAATGATCATAGTCTCGAGACGAACACTGACAATCGGGTGGGGGGAGGGAGGGGAGGGGGGCTTACCTGTTTGAATAGTTCGGCTCAGCCTCAACGAAGCACGCTCTGCGTCATGTGGAGCATCCCCGTCATCGCTGGATCCATCAGATCGCCACTCGTCAATCAGAAATGGCATCGTCGTCATTATTCTAATCAATGATAATCGTCATCATCGCCGTCATTGTCGTCACCATCAAAATAATCATCTATCGGTGATCATGATCATAACTCATCATCATCCAATCGTCATCATCCATCGATCAGCGCTGTAGATACCATCATAATCTTACATCACACCATTGTCTTCGTCATCACCATGAACCTATTGTATTGATTGACTTCATCCACAATCATCCTCTCACTCATCATCAATAATCGTAGTCAACATTATTAACCAATTATGACCATCATGATCATCGTCTCAATCATCCATCACCAAGATCATCGTCATGATTATTATAGTTACCATCCACCAATCGTGTTATGATCAATGCAATCATCATAGTCATCGTCATCATCATCGATATCAATCCAGCTTCATCATCATAGTCATCATTCATGAATAGAAATCGTACTAAATCACCATCACATCTATCTCTCAAAGTTCGACGATGATAGCCATCACCACCATCATCATCATCATCGTAATCACCGCCACGTACGCCACCCTGTGTGCACCCTGATCATCCCGAGTCCCTCTGTGAGCGGACAGTCGCTCACGACCCCTCCCCTCGCTCACCCCTCCCCTCGCTCACCCCTCCCCTCGCTCACCCCTCCCCTCCCTCACCCCTCCCTCACCCCTCCCCTCCCTCGCCCCTCCCCTCCCTCACCCCGCCCCTCCCTCACCCCTCCCCTCGCTCACCCCTCCCCTCGCTCACCCCTCCCCTCCCTCACCCCTCCCTCACCCCTCCCCTCCCTAACCCCTCCCCTCCCTCACCCCTCCCCTCCCTCACCCCTCCCTCACTCCTCCCCTCGCTCACCCTTCCCTCACCCCTCCCTCACCCCTCCCCTCGCTCACCCCTCCCCTCACTCACCCCTCCCCTCCCTCACCCCTCGCTCACCCCTACCCTCCCTCACCCCTCCCTCACCCCTCCCCTCCCTCGCCCCTCCCCTCCCTCACCCCTCCCCTCCCTCGCCCCTCCCCTCCCTCGCCCCTCCCTCACCCCTCCCCTCGCTCACCCCTCCCCTCGCTCACCCCTCCTCCCTCTCCCCTCCTCCTTCCCCACCCTCCTCCCCCTCCTCCCCCTCCTCTTCTTCCCCCTCCTCCCCCACCCCCTCCCCGTGTCGCTACCCCAAGCACAAGTGACCGCGGCTCCTCGGCGCGTGTCTGTACAGCACTCGTGTACTTACATGTATGTATCATGTATGTACTTATGTGTATGGTGTATGTACTCATATGACGCACGTATGACACGCGTGTCATCGTCGTGTGCCTGCGAAACGCCAAATAAAAGCATCGTGAACGCTGCTTCGCTGGGTGCTGTGGTTTATTTTTTTTGAGAGAAACAAAAAAATCTGGATTATCCAGGGTGCTTCAACACTTACATGGAGCTATCGTTTTTAATGGGACAAGAACGGACAATGCACGGTAACATGATAACAAACGTCACGTCAAAATCTTCCACAGGCGGTTTACAGAGCTCGCAGGCCGCACACTTCTCGTGGCGTTGTTGCAAATTCTCGGCAGTGTTCACATTTTCTTGAAGCACCGCGCACTTGTTTACCCATGGGAGCCTCGCTGAGTCTCACGGCTTGTTCTCAGGAGGGTCGTGCCCGTTGTGTCCGCGCAGTCGCGGGCGATGTTCGCTGCGTGCAGGACCATGGTGAGATTACTTCTTCGGATGTGGGGCAAATTTGGACCGTAACGCGGGCGCGCAGTGGTGGATGGGGGGGGCGGCCGCTCCTCTTGCGAAGAACGTCACGAAGCAGACGGCGCATGAGTGTCACGATGTGTCCAATCGTGAGCCCACGTGCTTATATCAGGTGTTAGAATCGCGTTTGGTTATTTACTTAATCGCTTTTGGCTCTGCCCAGCGCCCTTGCGACCTCTGGGCGATACGGCGCTTTAGGATGGTTTTCTTGTTCGTGTTTTTTTGTTTGTTTGTTGTGGTTGCACCCGATTCAAGAGCCGAATGGCTCACAGGGCTATACCAAAATAAACTGAATTGAACTACGCGCTTTATAAGTGAAAGTTATTAAATTATTGCTCTTTTTTTTACACTCGCGGTATGAGTCGCTAGAATCGAACCGCGAACCTCTCCAACAAGAAGTGGCGAAGGCGCTGTAATTTATTTTGTCTGTTTGGCGCTGCTGCTGCTAATGATGATGAAATATCTTCAAACAACTTACACGACCAACACGGCGCGTGGAGGCCCTCGTCCAGACGCGGATTAGCAAAGGGTCGTCAATTATCGTAAATTTTTTCGCTGCAATGGTAAAGGTGGAGTCCCAATGGCGGAGCCAGAATTTGCAGGTAGTGGGGAGCAACCCCTCCAGCAATGAGAAATGATAGAGGAGTTGATAGTAAGTAAGGAGTTGTTAGTAAGGAGTTAGTATGTAAGGAGTTGTTAGTATGTAAGGAGTTGTTAGTTAGTAAGGAGTTGTTAGTAAGTAAGGAGTTGTTCCTTGCGTTTTATTCGACGCGTGTGTGGCGATGGGGCAGCCATCGATCGAGGGTCGAATTGGAACCGCGTTGTGTGATCGGCATCGCGCTCGCTGAAGGTGTTTGCCTTCGGGGAAGTCGTGTACTGTAGACGCAACTGCGCACAATGATGTGAGTCATTTATAACTGCTTTGCCGTTACTTATTGCCAATTATGGACTCAGACTATTGTCCTATCATCTCATAGAGTCCCTGGCACGTAGTAATATGCTGCACAGTGGCAGTGGGGGGGTCGCAAAATGCCAATTTATTACTAATAAACCCCAATGATCCGATCGATACTAGGGATTTCGATCGGATCATTGGGGGGGGGGCACGTGTCACCCCCCCCCCCCCCCCACTGGCTCCGCCAGTGTGCAGCCCTGCAATGTCCTGCTGACGCCGCTGCTGACGGAATGGCCTTCAAGGGCGCCTTCACATCGAGAGCGTGAACGGTATTTGTGGCCTCCTCCTCCTCCTGCACGCTGGCCAGACGGGTTGGAAGAGATTGGACCCCACCACACGCGACCTTCCCCCTGGTGTTACTCATATCGCTGGCTGCACAGAAGCTGTGGGGCGGCGGTGGGGAGGGTGAATTAACATGCACCATTATATCAACAGGCGCGCAGGGAGATCGAACCGGCGACCCCTGCATTGTGCTGACCACAGCACCACTGGCTAATGCCCGCACAGAGTCGGAGCTCGCTGATGGAGCGGTGGAGGTGGAGGAGGGAGGCGGAGACGCGGGCGGACATGTCCGCAGTAATGGGGAACGGAGTCGTTGTTGTTGTGCATGATGTGGCTGTTGTTGATGTGGTTGTCGTCGTCGTTGTTGTTGTTGTGACAGCTCGTTTGAGCTTATTAACGCAGATCAATGAGCGTTTCCCATTACCGCGACTTGCAATGCAACCCCCACAGCACATGCTCCATCCCCCTCTGTGTGTGTGCGTGTTAGGAGGGGAGAGAGAGACAGAGCAAGAGTTGAGAAGAAGGGATGGAGGGGAAGCTGTGTGCGGGGAGAGAGAAGAGAGAGGGGGCGGGGGAGATGTTAAGAAGAAAGAAGAGAGAAAGAGAGGGGCAAGAGAGAGGTCAGACAGAGAGGCGGGGGGAAGGAGAGTCAAGGGAGAGTGAGAGAGTAAAAGGCGACTAGGTGAGAGCGATGGAGGGAGGAGACGAGATACAGAGAGAGGCGAGAGATAAATAGATAGTGAAATAAGTGAGAACCAAGTTGCTGTACTGCACTGAACTGGACCCACAGTGCTGGTAGAACGCTCTTGTTTATTCACCACACAGGCCCTGGCATGTGATGTCCTTAGCAGGGATGGCTACGTACGGTGCGAAAGAAGTTCAACGTACACGCACGCACACAAACATTCGCTTAACTGGCCACGCCCTTGCTGCTGACGTTAGCCGCGTCCGGGGTTCGAACTCAGCGGGTTTGCAAACACTTCTCAACAACATCAACAACAGCGACATAATGTCAATCTGACTTCTGAAGCTCACGAGTGAGATTACGATCTTAATGATGATTGCTGCCTCCTCAACCACCACCCCCACCCACCCACAACCCCCGCACCTCCGAACCGATTTCCTCCACGTGGAACTCGACAGATATCATCTCTAGCCTAATGTTTCCTCTCGGGCGATGCATAAAAAAAACACATTGTCCTGTTAAAAGGTAACAGTTAAATATTACCCATTCCCAAAAGCCCTTAACCCGACAGGGGCTTTACTTGGAGTGAAGTTCTGACACCCCCCCCCCCGCCCCCCACCGTGATTGGCAGCCGAGCCCGAGCCAGCCATCCCACGTTAATGCCTTCAATCGATTATCAATTTGCCTCAGCTGGAAAAAAAATGAGTCCTCCCGTGTGACAGCGCCCAGCGGCCCGCTCGAGATGTGTTTTGTCTTTTGCAGTAAAGGAGACGGGTGGAAGACCATGGGGTTATCCGCGGTAGCCGGGCCGTGGGTGGTATCGCAGTTTATTAAAAACTATTTCTTATTTTTCAACAAAGGCTGGGTTCATCAAATCCAGCGCGGGTGTGTCGCGGATTACGGAGAGGAGTCGCGGAACCATCGAATATTCCGCAAATTAATTTCTGAGTTTCAATTACCCGGGGCTTTATGGATATATTTGGACTCTGTGTTGGCATCAGCAGTAGCCCCGTCTCGTCGGATCTCAAAAAGCCAAGCAGGGGTTTGAGCCTGGGCAGTGGTTGTAAGGGTAACCAACCCCAGGACACGGGCACGGAGAGCAAAGTGCAGTGCAGTAGAATCAATTGTTATGCTCCCACGTCTAGGCTCCCACGTCCCATGCTCCCCGCCTTCACCAATTCGCACTGGCCAGGTATGGCCAAATAGCCCCCGCGACCCCCACGGGGATGGGAGCACTTTCATCCAGCAGTGGATTGATAAAAGGACTGAACATTCACACGTGCACGGCATCGCAGACAGAATCGCTGCGTCCACACGGGTACACATAGGCTCGTCCCAAGACAACTATCCTCTGTATAGCCTAACATAGACTGGTGGATGAGTGCTAATTCAGGACTATGCAGTTCGTCACGACACACGAGCGCGTGGTATGGCTGGAACAATTCCGGCCGCCTTTGTCTCCCCATTGCTGCCCCCATTTGAACTGAACGACGGATCTGAGAAGGAAGCGCCCTTGGCGCCTGGGTGGAGCATTCGTAAGAGAGAAAGCGTGAGTTTGAGTGTGAGTGAGGGTTAGCGAGTGA